TGAAAATAAAAATATGTATTTTGTAATAAAACACAAATCCTGCTTGTCATCACTTTCAGACTTTAGTTCCCTTTTGGCGTAAGTTCTGACTTCATTAGGATTCAAAGGCTGTTACTGTGGCTGCACAGCAGAGTTAGTGCCTAACAGCTCTTCGGACACTCTGGCTCCTACGTGGTTGTCTTTGGCCTTCAGGGGTTGTATTTCCTTACAACTTGGATTGGCAAGGGATGTGCTGACATTGGGCAATCCAGTTGTCACCCTGTTCCCAAATTCCCTTTGTCCTGTAGCCGGTGTGGTAGGTAATCTTATGTTAGATGGGAGAAAAAAAAGCTTTTTTGTATTTTTTTGTAAAGGTCAGTGTATTTGTATACAGCATGTAAGAAATAGTGGGCAATTTTGAGAACTTGCTTTTGGGCTGACAAAGGTAAACACTGATTATTCATAAAATGTTTCTCTGGATCAAACGTCCAGATAATATTGAGTTAGGGATCTGTGGTAAAGGAAAGAAGCTGGGTAAGATTTGTTTGCTTGAGTAAACAATGAAGTTGCTGTAAGTATCTTCAGTTGATCTCGTGCTCTTCATTGAATAATCCTCCTGTAGCCCACGTTCAGGCTAATTTTAAATTTCTTGGTATGCAAGGGAGATTCTCCTCCTTCCTTTTCTGCTTTCATGCCTTTCAATCTGCAAGAGTGAATTCACTCTGACAGGCTTTTCCTACCATCTTTGATACCTTCCCTTTAATTCTGCCAAACCAAGCACAGCTCTAACAATTTCCAGAGGAAGAAACTCCAAAGACAGAGTTTTCTTAATGCTGTGTCCTTAACTGCTCCATGTCTATTTAGTCAGGATGCCATCAATCCCAGTAGCTGTATTATCTCCCTGATGTTGGCTAAGGGCATATTTAATTGCTCTGTGTCTTTGTTTTGTGCATTAGCGAAACAAGATATTTGAGTGCATTTTAGAATCTGTGTTAAAGGCGGTATATCCAAAGAGACAGGCAGGAATTTGGATAGGATATTCTTGCTTTGCAGGTACAGCTGCACCAGCAGATATGCTCCCTGCAAAGACATTCCCAGCACAGCAAAGTGCAGGAGACACTGATGTCACTCTGAGGCTGAAGACAGTCCCATCTCTCCTGCCTGGTGACTCTTGGCAGTCCTCATGAGCGTTCTGGGATCTTTCCCAGATGTCCTTTTTGCTGGACAAAAGCATGGTGACTGGCAGTGAAGACAAACCATTATGAATCAGAAATTTTACAGAATGGTGTTAATGGTTCTTCTCATGAGATTTAGTGAGTGTGTAACAATGCCAAATCACAGGAACTGCTCTTTGCAATTTGTCTTATCGTAAACTCCTCAGAAATTGTTGGGCCTTTTTATTTTCAGAAACTGTGCCCATGTGAGTTGAGTATGCAGGAATGATATCAGAATAAGGGAACAGTCTACATGTAAAGCACAGAAATACTTGAAGAAGGCTGCTGGGGAAGAGCAGCCAGTGCAGGCAACGAGAATTTTCTTGATGGTCCCCTCCATTACAAATCAGTCATCTGGTTGGTAGTGAAATACGTAGTCATGCAAAAGGAGTCCCAGGGAAAAAGAAAATTAGTTTTTGGGGGCTGCTGCGGGGTTGGTTTGTTTGCTTTGGGGTTTTTTTCTGCTGCAGTGAAGCTGTATTGCTTATTCTGTTGAAGTGTTCTCACTGAGATGAAAACCAGGGAAATTAAGGAGGAGAAATTTTAGAATTCAGAAAATCAGTCTCAGTTCAGAGTTTAGGAAAGGGTCAGAGAACAAGAAAGTCAGTGGGAATATTCCCAGTGCACATAGCTGGAGCTGTGCTGCAGGTTTCTTGCAGCTGCAATTACAGTGCAAGTCCCAGAAGACCCTTCAGTAAAATGTTAATGCAACTTTGATATTGTTCAAATCCTTTCCATGCAGATGTTGTTGGGAAACACCCTTTGCTTGCTTACAGAGAAAACTAAGAGTAGGCATAGGGGTTTCATGAGAAGGTAGATACATCAGCATGGATTGGTAAATACTGGGTGAAATATTATCTGAAATGGGATTTGGGAAAAGCTAATGGAAAGTTCCTATTTGCAAAAAGGCTTTTTTTTTCCCTGCTGTCCTCCTACTGGTACCAAAACATGGAGCCTGTGGTCCAGCCATTAATATCTTTATTCACTTTTCCAGTTTCTCTCAATACTCCCAAGTGCCCACTGCAATATCTGTTCTAACTTATTCTGACTGGTATCTGTAAAGAACAAATCTAACACCTCTGCGGAGCAGGGCAGGTAATTAATCATGAACATGTGCATACCCAGCTAAGACATCTTACACTCTTAGCTGAACTTTCTAGTCAGTGTCAGTTGGGGGGATTCAAAAGAACTCTGACAACTTTAAAAAACTGATTTAATTCTGGAAATATCATTAGATCAAGTAACATAGAGTTGAAAAACTGTAAAAAGATTAGATTTTTGTAAAAGATCAAAAATTAGTTTATTAGAATTGTGGGTTTAGCACTTCTGAGTGGTCATTTTTACCATTGCTCCTGTAAAGTTTATCCAGTTTCCCTTACTGAAAAAATTCCTTGTAAGTATAAAAAAATGCATAGCTTAGGATAAAGGAAACCTTACACAATAAGAGATGCAAATATGTTTTAATTTAAGATATTTAAAAGCTAGAATAAGATCATGTATGTAGCTGTTTAAGAGATACGAATAACAGTTGCAAATAACATATGTTCAGTGTAGCTGTAGTTATGCTAATTGGAAACAGAAAATTGGAAAACATTGAAGGTAAAAACATTTATAAAGAGAAAAATTAATTGAGACTTTCCAGAGGCGTTGTTCAGAAACAAAACTTAGTCACAGGGATGCCAGCACAAATATTTGTTGCTTTTTATAGAATAGTTTTTATTATCCCTATATGTGTTTACTCCCTATTAAAAAAAATCAAGATAATTTGTGTGAATAATACCCAGTTACCTTATATGGAGTAAGGTAATTTTATGTTAGGTAATAAAAGAAGGATTCTGCGTGGAGGCAGAAATCCTCTTCCATTGCACCGTGCTCTCGTCATCCCAGCCGGTCTCTGCAGGGTGCTCATTAGTAGGTGCTTTTTCTCAGAACTGTAGGTAAGCTGTGTTAAGTTTTTTCCTCCCTAACAGATTAATTATCTGTGAGCGTTCCTTGAAGGAACTTTTCAGCTGTAGATTGGAATATTTATTTTCTTTCTTCATTATCTACATGATCATAAATGTAATGCATTACTCTTGTAATGTTTAAGCCTTGCATATCGTGTTTGCAGTGCATTGTTCTTTGCTTATTCACTTTATCTTATTTAAAATTTTAACTAACATTCTTTTGTCTGTTACTGTGAGAACCTTTTTACTTTGGAATAAGTGGTTTAAACTGTCATGATTCCCAGCTTAGAGTGGAGAACGTGGGGTGAAAACACTGACTGCTCCTAACCAATACTATGAAGAACTTCTTAAAGTGACAATGTAAATATTTTTACGTTCCAGCTGTAGTTATTGAAAACCAGCCTGTATTCTTTCAGGCTTTAATTGATTCCCCAAGATGTTTGCAAAAGCAACAAAGAATTTTGTGAGAGAAACTGACAGCGGAGGTGACTTGATCCCTGTCTCCCACTTGAACGCCTCAGACAAGCTGCAGCTTCTGAGCTTAGTTACGAAGAGGAAGAAATTCTGGTGCTGGCAGAAGCCCAAGTATCATTTCTTGACAGTCACCCTGAGTGATGTGCTTACTGAAGACAAACCGATAAAACCAGGTAAAGCCGTACTCGGGCAGCATCGTTACTGCGGATGAAAAGAATGCAAAGCCCAGGCTTTGTTGTTGTTCTTCTCAGTCATGTTACGAGAGGGCTCCTTTTGAGGAATGCTCTGAAGTATTCTCCGTTCATGGAAATGAGATGACTGGATCTTTTCTTACTTGACTATTCATTTAACTAAAACCAGTTAGTAATAAATGTTTGTTTTAAAAGAAAAAAAAATGTTTTGCCTAGATAGACTGCTGAAATTGAGTGCTGAAGGTTCTTCAAGCCTTATTGTCCTCCTGTTTAATAACAGTGCTGTCTGCAGCCACAGAAGCTTCCCTAGAATATTTTTGGGGGATTCCAGTATGTGATAGTAGCATTAAACTATAGTGTACTGCAGGTGAAAAAGCACTGGATAAATAGTGTTCTGTTGGTATAGTAGCCAAGGGAATGCTTGCACAAGCAAGGCCAAGCAAGTTTTACTACTGATTCCTTTCTTCTTGAACAGACAGTTAAAAATGGTTGACCATTCTACTTCTTTCTTCATCCTAACCAGGTTTTAGGATTAATGATCTGGAATCCCGTATTTCTGGGCATGTCACAAGTCCATACAGAAAAATAGATAAGTTCCCTAAATTTAGATTTTAATTATAGCTGGCTTGAAAGATTAGCTGATTCTGTGTCAATTCTTTGGTTTAGAGGTGAGTAAGATTCAGAGTTGTTTTAAGTCAATTAGATGCTTCCATTGCTTTTCAGTGAGCTTTGGGACAGGCCTGTAATGAGATATGTCAAAATAATGGCAAAATATTAACCCTGTTGTGCAAGCAGGTCTGCTTTGTAGTTTTTCCTTGTAGCTGAAACAAGTTTCAATCATTCTTTATAAATCTTCCATATCACTTGAGCTTAGCATTTCAATCACCTTACGTTTTTATAAAATGGCAAAATATAAAAGATAGCAGAACAAAGATGATTAAAATATGGAGGAAGCAGAAGAGTTGCAGAGCTGTAAATGTAATTACTTACCTGCTTGGTACTGTTCCTTGCCTTCACTAACTTGTTATATTTTCTCTAAGTTTCTGTTTGTCCAGTCACTTCAGGACCATTTCAGCACTTTTCTTCACATGTAGCAATTACTTTTATTGCTTTCCTAGTGATTGTGGAGTCTGACTTTGCAAAATATATGGGGAAGTTTGAAGATTTTGTTCAAGGAAGTATTGAAACTTCATTTGGAAAGATCAGCCTGGGAGCTGGAGGGAAGGGCTTTGTGGAAAACCAGTCCTCATTTGGAAACCTGAGGAAGCAAGAGATTGACTTGCAGCAGCTTATGAAAGATGTCAAGGACAGGTATGTTTTTAATGTGGGTGTTGTAATGCCCAGGAAAGATGACTGAGCTGAAAAGACCTGAGCCAGCTGTGATCACTGAACAATTGATTCTGTAGTGGTGCCATAGGTTGAGAGTTATTTTTATTGTAAGCTCTCATTTACAGGTTATAAATCATATATACCAAAATGAAAATTTCCAGGTTTTGAGAGTTTGCTGGTCAAACCTTTCCCTTTTCATTTTAGAAACATCTCTCTGCAATTTCATCTCATGTATTTGCATGAATTACCATGTGAAACGGGTCAAATCCTTCCTTCTCTGGGGGACTGTGCTGAGGTAACAGTCTGGAAAAAAAATGGATTGGTTTCTCGATGCTGCTGAGGCAAATGCTATGGAAACTGAATTCAGAACTACCAGTGTTCTTGTAAGCATGCTTTATAATTTTGTGTGTGTGCCAGCGACTGTGCTAGAAAATTGGATTGTTTGAAATTGAAGGAGTAGTGAAGGTGAGCAAGCACGGTCAGTGCACATTCTACTAGTTGAACAAAATGTAGTTTATAGATTTGTTGCTCAGTGTTATACACTGTCATAACTGAGGGGAAAAACACAGATTTTCCAAATCATAATCTTAATTTTACAAGATATGCAACACTTCCTGTCCTGCTCTGAAATTGGTTTGATTGAATCTTGCAGTAGGACAGCTATGGGCCAAAGCCTACTTGGCAAACAGCTGCCAGGTCAGGGGTCTGCTCTGTATTGCAAGTCCTGGCTCATGAGAGATGAGGGTTGGTTGGTTGTGACACCGTTGTACCCTAGGTCTGTAGGAGGTGGTGTAATACATTTTAATAGCCTTTGTTGATGCTCTGGAGGTACAGATGATGGGTTTTTGTTATTGGTACAATAGTTGCTGGAAGCAGTGTAAATTTTATTTAGAGATAGTGATATTCTAGAAATAATTAATTCTCCATTTTCATAGGAACAAATACCTGCTCTTGTTTTTATTGTGAACATTCACAAGTCAACAAACTTGTTCTAATAAGCACCTTGCTATCTTTGTACTACATGCCTTGTTAAGAGCAGAAAATACTGGGGTAAATGTGTGTACCAGGCCTGTAAAATTAGTGTGCATCTAGTGTCAGAAAAATAATATCAAGTCAAGATTTAGGATCTTGTTTCTAGCACTAAATAGGAGTCCAATAGAAAAACAAACTAGAGTAACTTCTGTTTAGATCAGTAAGCTTTTATGTAGTTTTCTGCAATAAGTTACCTAATCAGTTCAAACAAATAATCCTCCCATAGCAAATCAAATTTACTTCAGCACATTTTGGGGTTATAATCCTGGATGTAACTAAATACTTAAAAATATCTTCTTTTGAGTGTTGAAAATCAGTAGCTCTACACTGATCTGGATATAACTATAAATGAGGTTAATGTGTCTGCCCCTTTGTACAAGGAGCTAGTTTTTAGTTCATAGAAAAGGTGCTCGTAGCTTATTAAGGCTTATAATGCAAAGTACATAATTGATATCCAGTCAGTCTGGCTTTTGCCAGGTCGCTGAAAGTGATGAGAATAGTGTATTTATTTTTTTTCCTTCAGCATAACACTGAGGCTCACTGGAAATTGTGGCAATGCCTCATAAATTAAATTCCAGTTATTTATTCATAAATATTCTATGATTTATGATGGCTTGTGTCCAAGCTCCTAGCTTTCATCTTGTTCATGGAGCATTGTGTGGAATTCAGGAATTCGGCATTCAGGAGCACTGGTGCCTAGAAGTTAGTGATTTTGGGATGCAAAGCATTGTGGTGCTAGGAGGATGTTTACCCGTCAGCCCTGGTGAGATGAGAGCCAGCTAAGTGTTCCTTGATTTCATCTAATGGCATACGTTGCTTGTGCTTGTTTTATCGTTAATTTTGTTTATTATTTTTACATTTATAGCCTAATTAAGTTGCACTTTAAAATCTTGTTGTTGTATCGCTCTGTTTAAGTAAAAGTTGCAGATAAATGGCAGAAAACTTTTAAAAAGTCAAAGCCGACATGGGTTCTAAACTGTCATATGAGTCTTCGAGGTTCAGCGAGCTGGAAGTGCTGAGTGGCAGCAAATCGGTTTCCTGTCACTTCTTATGTGAACCTTCTGAAGGAGAATCCTACTGATCTTTTAATTAGATTCCAGATGCTGCATAGGAATCCTTTTCTGACAAGGGATGACAGCTGAAGTATGCAGGGTGAGATCCTTCCTGATCTGCAGAAGCAATGACATTTTAAATGCAGAACACTTATTAACATTATGCAATATAAAAATAAAGTTAAATGGTACTTTCAGATATATAAGCTCAGCATATTTTATGGTAGATTATTCTTGCTTTTCGTATTACATTTTGCTTGCTAATTCACAGAATTCTGGTAACATACTGATTTTAGGTCAGAGTCCTGTGCCTTTAACTTAGTGAGATTGCTATGGATTTAAGAGTGTACTGCGTCTTCTGGCTTAAGGCTTTCAGTACTGTCTGCCCGAAGATCCTTGTAGAGAAGCTGATGAAGTATGGGCTGGATGAGCGGACAGTGAGGTGGATTGAAAACTGGCTGAGTAGCTGGGCCCGGAGGGTGTTGATCACTGGTACAAAACCTAGTGGCACACCAGTGGCTAGTAGTGTACCCCAGGGGACAGTACTGTGTCCAGTCCTGTCTAACATCTTCATTAGTCATCTGGGTGATGGGATTGATGACCATACCCTCAGCAAGTTTGCTGATGACACAAAACTGGGAAGAGTGGCAGCTATACCCAGAGGGTTGTGGTGCCCTCCAGAGGGATCTGACTATAGCAGACACTCTGTTCCAGTGTGACTGTAAGAAGTAGGTCAGAGAGGTTATATTTGAAATGGATTAACAAAAGAAATACATGTCTGCTTGCTGGAAAGCGGCAGCATGAGGTCTGGTGGATTTTGCTCCATGGCACGCATCTAGAGGTCTCTATCAGAGAAAGAACAAAGCTGGGTGAAGGCCCTCACTGTGCAGCAAGCAGCATTTGTATGGAAGAAATCATACTATTGCACATTATAAATGAAGTGGAGAAGAAGGAACAAGCTGAGGAATTCTGGCTGAGCAGTGAGAGATGTTTTGAAGGTTGTCATGTGAATGTTATGGAAGAAGTGGCGTTTGGGCGAGGTTGTGAGATTGGGCCACCCATGTCTCTGAAGCTGGGAGAGGAGGTGTGTTAAGGTGACACTGCCCAGTGCAAAATTGGTTTTTCATGAGTTTTTTTGCTCATGAGTAGTTTTGACTGGTGAAAGTTTGTGCAGGCAGGCAGCAGTGCTGACTGCGGTGCGAGGACAGAGAGTACTCACAGCAGTAACCATTCTTTTTGGTATTTGTAGTAAAGTGGCAGGCATCTTTCCTTGAGGATTTGTGGGGTGGGTTACTGAGAAGGCTAGACAGGATTTGATGGAAGAATGGCCCTAGCCCCCCTCCTTTGTGGACAGTCTGGTCGGAGATTCTGCACCTGAAGGAAAGACCTTCAGTCTCAGCTGTGGGGTTTAGAGCAGACACCTGCTCTCTCCTTTAACTGTGAGAGCCTGCTCTATTGCCAGGTATTGTCTGTTTTCTCTTGCCTTCCATTGTTTTCTGCCTTTCTCCTTTTCTGCTTCCAGTCTTGCAGCAAATTGCCTTTGTACCTCTCTATTCTCCACTGCTCTCCTCATGCAAGAAGAAAAGGGTTGAATAAAAGTGAAGGAAGCCTTTGCGTTATTGGAGAGTGGAAGTGTTTAATCCAATTAAATACGGACAGAGTGAGACCAGAACTCAAATAAATTCTTTTCTGTTCATATTTGACCTACAGAGCTTCCAGCATAGTAAATCATTGACATCAGGAAGGTTATTTAAGCAGAACAAACAATCAAACAAAACCCCATAATCCTTATCTTTCAAATGATCTTTATTTATACAGACTCATACCTTGTGTGTTGATAACAGGACGTAGTGAACCGACGTCTCGTTCTATTTTACATAGTGTTACTTTTGAGTACTTCAGCTCAGGTTCTTAAGGTGGGAAGGAGTGCAGTGATAGTACAGGTCACACCAGATCGGTGAGGGCTCCTGTACAGTAGATGGTGAGAGAGATAGTAAGACTGGTGGTTGTAGAACAGAAATAAAAGATCTGAAATATGATCTGTAAAATAAAAAAATGCAATGCAGTTCATGTGCCTGCGTGCATGTATTCTCAGGGGCTTAACTCAGCCATCTCTTGTTATTCAGATATCTTCTTGATATTCAGAGTGCTATGCTGGCAAATGATTTCAGCTCTTGCAAAGATACACTCCTAGATTCAGCAGCCATCGCCCTGCTCTGATTGTCAAACTTTAACCCTGTTGCATTTTGCTCGATAGCTGTTTTCAGTGATAATTCAGATAAGATGAGTATTTGCTTACCTCGCCTTGTCTCCTGTTTGAGTCACTGAGAAGAGCAGAATGTTTTGCCTTCACAGGCTGTGCCCTAGTGATAACCTGTGATGTGCTTACACGCAACCCTAGAGTCTAAGGGGTTTTATGATCGAAAGTTCAGTGCCAGAAGTCTAGGGAAGAGCATTTAACTGAGCTGTCCTATAAGAAAAGGTGTTTGTAGCTGTTGGTAAGGGTGCGTTTTTTAAAGCTCTAAATCTGGTGGGGTTCACTCACTGACCTTAGTGGGAAGAGGAAAGCATTTCTGCCAGCTTTACAGCTGAACACATCCTGCTGAAGTCCCTTGAATCTTGGGGCCGAGGCAGCGGCGTGTCTCTGCCACAGAGCACAGCTCTGTTTGGAGGGCCCCGGCTTGGCTCCGAGACGCGGCGCTCGCGGCAGCGCTGCGCCAGGGACCGAAGCGGGAAGCTCTGCGCCCCGCTGGTGTCAGTGCAGCCCACGGTGCTGCGGCAGCTCAGCCAGCACTGCCTTGGAGATTTCCTCACCGCACGTCGTTGCGAGTTTACCCATGTCTTCTGACTCTTTCGCTTTGCCTCTGTCCTCTTCTGCATCTAAACCTCAAAGCCAGGAGCGTGAGGGGGTCTGAGCCAGTCTCATCTCAGGCAGAATGCTGTAGAAGTAGATGGAAGAAAAAGTCTCTCGAATTATTTTGGTTATTCATTTGTATAGCGTTAAATCATATTCAGTATTCTTCTTACATTAATGCTCATTCAGAAATAGCAAATCTCAATTTAAGCTGTATTTTTCTACCTTTGATTGTTTTGTTTCTATTGCTCTGACTTTTGGGGATATCCAGTGAGTTTGTCATCCTTTGAAACGGGCAAAAAATACATCATATGAAAGCAAATGACAAAATGCTTTTGTGCTTCTTCATTGTATTTCTTCCCCTGTGGCTTCTTAGGTCGAATGTTAAAATTGCAAGTTCTTAGTGCCTTAATTTGTATTTTCAAGATGCTTCGCACACCTCTTCAGAATCATAAATAATTCTTGTGAAGTATATGATAGGCTTGATGGTCTGTTACTGTGATAACTAATAGCTCTGGTTTGGCAGACACGTCTAAGAGCAGCAGTGTTTGTGATTGCTTGACATTTCTTCAATTTTTGCTTAATCCAAAGATTCATTGCATTCCAAGCATAAAGCATGGCTTTGCACTGAAAGAAAAAAAGTTATATTAATAATCTCAGGAATGTTTGGGACTGCTTTTCTAGTGGCTGCTGCATTGCTTCAGAGCTATTTTCTTTCCCTTGTTTAAACAATCTACTTTAAGGTTTTCAGACAGTTCATTCCAACCGATTGAACTTTCATATAAGCATGTAACTCTCCAAAGATCAAAAATTGCCTCAGGATATTTTTAATTTAATAAAGAACCAAGCTGACTTCAGACTTACATGGACTGCATAAATCCAAAACTCCAGAATCTAATAAATCTGAAACTTTTTAATTAAAAGTGGAGATATCTCAATTTAAATAAAGCAGAGTCAAACATGCCTTTCTGTCATGTTATGGGGGAATTGCCATTTTACCCCACAAATAGCCATTTACAGTAGCGGGGAGGAGAAAAGGCTAAGTTGAGCCAGGGTTAGCAATCTTTTAGTATTCCAGCTGTCTTGCTACAGTTAACTGTTCATAGAATATATGACATCTCATCTGAGGACCTCCAATGGGTATTTTGCAAAAATATAATAACTGACACATTTTAATCAATCAAGTACAGTGAAGAAGTTGCTTTAACTGTTACTAAAAAGTCTGTTAAGACTCCAGAAGACAGGGGAATAAATTTTGTCATCTTTTCTTAGAAAATAATCTTTTCGTATTGTTTCTGGGAGTTCACTTTCTTTCTTCTTTCATTCTAAGAAGAACCTAACTTTAAAAATATCTCCAGCAACATTTAAATGCATGCTGAATTATGCTGTGGAGTAGGAATGACTTGTGAAGTTGGAGGCATGGACTAGAAATTTGAGGTCCCTACCACATTTTATTTTTCTTTTGACTGTGACAGTTCTGGTCATGAATTGTAAATTGCAGGGTTATACTGATAAATAACACAGTAGTTTATAGCAGGTGTTTTTTTCAGTAGTCTTCTCCAATCCCAAAGTTCATGAAATCTTTTCTGTATTTTCTCATCCAGCCCTTTGAAGTACCTGATCAGCGCGGATCCCGCTCAGCCAGTTCAGGGTTTCAGCGAGCACTGAAACAGATCCATAGCAAGCTGTGAGGGTTGGCCCTGAGGTGTCACACTCTCAGTGTGCTCTTCATCCTTCAAGGAGAAATTCTGGTGACTCAGAATTTGTCAGCAGCGTGTCAGGGCACTCCTTTGGCCGCATGTGGGGCTTCAGAGACCAAATTGGCATTCTTAATGGTGGTCACCTCCAGCTGTCCTAGTCCAGGGTGAGTCTGGACATCAGCACTTGGGTGCAAAGGAGCTCCTGTCACCTCCCATGCTGAGAAGCACTTGATGGCACACCTGCAGTAGGTGGAAGGATGTACAAAGACAGGAGTGACAGGACTGAATGGTGACAAGGAGACAAATGAGACTGAGTTTGGCCAGATCGCTGGAAAGTGATGACAATAAACTGTGAGAAGGAGGAGAAACTGAGGCTGAGAGCCATGGACAGCTGATGTCATCTAAGGGTAGAAGTAGTAAAGAAATCACAGGACGTGAGATGAGTGAGCTGGCTGGCTGTGGGACATAGCTGAGGTGAATGAGAAGGGAGGGGAAGAAGTGGAACTTGGTCAGATAAGAGAGAGAAAACCGGGAACTATTGTAAGGAAAAGTGGAGCTTGATAACAGAGGGAGAAACTAAGCACACTTGAAGATTGCTTGGTATATATTTCCTAACTTCCAGTAGCTTGACTGCAACTTCACTCTTTCTAAGCAGAGCTTTGTGATGTGTGGATAATACTGTTATATTACATGCTTTTTCTGTATTAGGCTATCACAGCTCTTTGGTTGTGTGTGCATGCATAATGTCTGCAGTAGTGTGCTGGGCTGCAGGGAGTTCACAATATGGACCGTGATCACAGGTCTTTTGTTTGTACTGCCTGGTAACTTTTTGATTGAAATGATTCTTTTGAGTAAAGACTGCAGTTTCATAGAATCATAGAATCGCCTGGTTGGAAAAGACCTCTGAGATCATCAAGGTCACCATACCTATCTACTACTAAACCGTATCACCAAGCACTCTATCTACCTCTCTTTTAAATACCCCAGGGATGGTGACTCAACCACCTCCCTGGGCAGCCCATTCCAGTGCCTGAGAAAACTTTCAGTGAAGAAATTTTTCCTGTAATCCAATCTGTACCTCCCCTGGTGTAACTTAAGGCCATTGCCTCTTGTTCTATCACCAGTTACCTGGGAGAAAAGACACACACCTGCCTCCCTGCGGCCTCCTTTCAGGTGGTTGTAGGCAGCAATTAGGTCTCCCCTCAGCAAGTCAGTGGGATGCGCCCCATGGCCTCCCTGACGCTGCTTGTGCCAACGTGAGACTGAAGAGAGTGGCGAGCTGGCATCCCCCGCCGCGGCGTGTTAGTGTCAGTGTGCGTTCACAGTAGCAGAAGACTCAGCCCAGTGTTCATGAGCCTGGCTGGTTGTTTCCACACTAAACTGGAAGCTTAAAGTTGTCTTTAGTTCTCCCTTGGTTTTTTGCTTACAAAGTAGCCAGACAGCTGCCATTTTTTGCTCAAAATAAGGAATCAAGAATTCAATATGTGTGTTGTGATTTACTATAGAATACAAATATTTACTGCTACCAAATAACAAAAGAGGACATAATAATTTTGAGGAGATTGCTCATACAAAAACCATTGTTATTTGTACAATAAAAGCTTCTTCAAGCAATTAAGAAAATGTTTTTTTTCAGTTCCAGTGTTTATGTTGTTAATTCCTTCTTTTCTTTTTCAGAACAATAAATCTGAGCAGTAGTTTGCTGCAACAAGTAATAGAAAGAAAACGTGAAGTGCTGTGCGTCTTGAGAGAAAAGATAATAACAACTCAGAGGTGTACAATATCTGAACATACGCAGACAGAAGAGAAGATCAGCGGTGTGATGGGATGCAGTACAAAAATAGTAAAGGTAAAAGTTATTTAAAAATCTGCAAGGAATAGAACATTTGCAGATTATCTCTGAATAAATTATTTCTTCAAATAGATTTCAACATATTTTTCATGCTTCTTTAATGTGTTGAACTATCCCAATTGCAAGAACTCACTGCACTGCTTTGTTGTGAAACTTCAGAAAGGTAAAATGTTTATTATTTCTGTTGCCTCACTGGCAAAAGATGCCATCTTTTAGTGTGAGCCTGGAATGTGGCTTCCATCAATACCATCAAATTGTGATTCAGTTTCTATGTAGATTGCTGCCTACAGCAGGACATAAACATTGAACAATTCAGTGAAAGCTGAAGAGCAAAAAGCATTGCTGAAGCAGATTCATTTGAAAAGCCAAGTAATCATTTGTGAAAGGTATTTGCAGTGTCTACTGAGTTTTGATATTTGTTGAGAAGCTATAGAAGCTATTTGTTTTGGGGCATTCTGATTAACTGCATTATGAGGCTATCTGAAAAATTACTTATGAATTGAGAAGAAATGACCAAAGTAAAAATATATGTGTGTTCGTTGTAAGGTTGTTTTTTTTTTTTAATTTTTTTTTTTAAAGCTGCACATGAATCACTTCTGTGTACAGGGTGTCTCCAGTAGCAGAAAACTGGGAGTTGCAGTTCAACAACCCTCTGTGCGAGTGCCAGTCTCCAGCTGGGGAATACGGGTGTCAGGATAGAAGAGGGCAGGGCAGGATACTGAAGAGGGTGCCTGTTTCCTAGTGACAGAGCATTTCCTGTGTGGCAAAAGCTACACCTGGAGCTCAACTCTGTACTAGGACAAGGTAGCTAAGAGTTGAGAGCTGCTCTTGGCATTGTGCTTCTGCCTTGCTGCTCATCTAGTTCCTTTCATAGATGTCAAATATAACATGTGCCTTTGTTAGACATCATGGAGCTTAAAGCACGTTCTTTCTCTGTACTTTTTCTCCTTAATTAATTCTATGTTTAAGCTACACAGTAGCTCCATCAGATAAATGGTGAACAGATCTGTCTTCTAGGTTTCAGTGAGTGAAAATGGAACTATGATGAAGGATTCTAGTGTGATCCTTGAAATTCCTCCTGCAACCACTATTGCATACGGTGTAATAGAACTGTTTATAAAGCACAGTGGCCAGTTTGGTGAGTATAAAGTTCATTTTCTGTGGCATGCAGTTGAACTGTGGGCAGAGCTGTCTGCTGGGCAATTATTTTTGCATTTCCTTGTCTATGAAAGTGATGATGTTGTATGGTCTTGATAGTTATTTGTGCTGTGAAATGTTGCTCTTGATTTAGTAATGCTTTTTCACTTGTTTGACTAAATCATAAACTCAGTATAACTTAGGTTTTAGGGAACTGAAGGAGGTCATCTAGCTCAAGCAGGGCCAACTTCTGAAATTTGATCTAAGTTCAGAGTTAGATCAGATTGCTTGTACCCTTGTCTATTCAAGTTTTGATTATTTCCAGAGATGGAGATTCCTTCACCCCTCTGGGCAGCCCGTTTTCATGTTTGACCACCATCATGGTGAATTACTTTTTTCCCTTAATATCTGATGAGAATTTCTCTCTCTTTAATTTGTGTCTCTTGCCTTTTTTCCTATCATTATACAGAAGAGTCTGTCTCTGTTTTCTCTTTATGCTTCCATTGGGTACTTGTAGATAGCAATAAGGTTCTCCCTTAGCAATATTTTCTCCAGGCTGAACAAACCCAGCCTCTCAGCCTCTTCTTGTACATTATGTTCTCCAGCCCTCAGTGATCTTGGTGGCTGTTAGCCAGAGTGCTCCAGTATGTGAATGTCTGTGTTGTACTGGGGAGTCCAAAACTGGACACAGCACTCTGAATGCAGTCTCCTAAATTGAAAAATCACTTTCATCAGTCTGCTAGCTCTACTCTTGTCAGTACGGCCCAGCGTGCAGCGAGCTTCAATAGCTGCAAGGGCACATTGCTGATCCTCTCCAGTTTGTTGTCCAGGTCTTTTTTTGCAATTTTGCTTCTCACTAGCTGGCCCTCAGCCCGTGCTGTTGCCTTCACCTCTTGGCAGGGACAGTGAACTGAATATAAATCGATGGTCAACCAGGAATATTTAGACAACAGTCACGCTAAGAAAATAATTATTCATGAAGTATAGGACTGGAATTTAAACTTTCTTTAAACTTTCATAAATAGATTGTGCTCAGAATGATTATTTAAACTTTCTTGTCTATTTTATACTTTCATAAATAGATTGTGCTCAGAATGATTGCAGAGATGTCCTTGCCGTGTTTTCTGGCCACACTTTACTTACTTCAGGTCATATACTTTCAGGTGTCAAGTTAAAAAAAAATAAATTGAAATTGGCTTTGGGGGGAGTAGTAACTCTGCTCTGCAGAATCACTTGGGTTTTTCTTTCTTGTCTATCCTCAGTTAAACTCCCTGACCTAAAGGAGGTTTCAGGGGATGCTATGCACGAAGGAAGTCTGATGGACTGTGTAGGGCTGGAAGTTGGAAAGGGCTGATGTGGAGGGAAACAGGAGATAAGTTGAAGAAATAATTGAAGTGCAGTTGAGATTTGAATCCAAGATGCACTTTATTTGGATAAGAAATGCAGAAGATACTTTCCATCATTCTCCTTCAACTGAGTTCTGCTATTAAGGAAGTCTATAGGTTTAGGAATATAAGTAAATATCACGTAACCTGTAAAAAAACTTCTGAAATGTGGAATTGCTCTGACATAGACTGAACACAGAGAAATAGCAGAGGGCATTGACTTAATGGTCATAAGAGAACTGTGACTCAGAGTAATCAGGTGCAATTAAGGCTAGCTGACTACATAGGTGTATGGCTGATAGTCTGCTTAAGTTATTTCTAGATGGAAGTTCCTGTGTCCTGCTAGCTCATAATACATGAGTCTTGTTAATGATCTGTATTTTTCTGTTTTTTTCCACTTCTGCTTCTTTTTCTACTTTTCTTTTTCATGTTTCATATTAAGTCTTTTAAGCTTCAAAGCAGCTTGTTTCATGTTTTATCTCAAACAACCTGTGTCTTGCCTCCTTTTTTTAAAAAAAGGGAAGAATGCTATCTTCCCTTTCCTGACTGCCATTGAGAGGGTAAAGTGGAGGAACTAGCAACAAAATTAGGAATTTGCCAACAAGAATAAGTATGGTGGAGCCTAACCTTCAACTTCTTAATGTCTGATCAATGATCAGTGTTTCTTTATGGAAATGAAAGTAGCCTTTGAAGTTAAATCCAGAGACTAATATATTCCTTTCTCATGAGACTGAAAGTAACCCTTAGCAGATGTAACATAATGGGATTCTCTTCACAGTTAGTTAATGACCAAGGTGCATGTAAGGGGGGGGGGGGTTTGTTTCTTTTTCTTTGCCACTGATAGTGCTTGAGTTAGTCTATAAGGAAGAATAGTATATAAACATTCTTTAAAATGTTCTGGCTAATGTGACTGGACATGCTTGGACATTTTTATAAATAGATAAAAAAGGAAAAAAGTTCTAATTCTTTTCTGATCCCTTTACCATAATGTTTTCCTGTAATCATTCTGTTTGATTTCTACAGGCTAATTTTCCACTACCTGTAAAAGTTGTTCCTGTTAAAGGCTTTTCAGTTTTGTCTCTCTCTAAAGTTTCACTGCAAGTTCTCTTGTTCTTGCTTTCCAAAACAGGAGGTATAGTAGCCCCAGCTGATTTACTTTGTTCATTGCTATATATGTGTGACTTGCTTCCTCTTAAATGTCTGTAAATTAAATAGTCCTAATCTTTTCAGCTTCTCCACACAAAGGAATCTTTTTTTTTTTTTTTCATTGATCATCTCTGGTTTTCTTCCATTTTTGTTAATGTTTCTAAATAACTAACAAGATCTAACTGCACTGTTGGAGGTTTGTCATCCATTGATGTAACAGAATTCAACAGGGAAAATATCAGAGTGTTATGTATATTCTTGCATTCAATTATTTTCTTTTATCTTTTTTCAGAAGAGTATGACAAAATTAGTGAGATACAAAATTAATTAACAATCCTATTAATACAAAACTTTCAGAGTCCTCTATTTTCTTCTGAATCGAGTCCTGTTACAAGATGTAACAGAAGGGTCTGTATCTCTTACAACTTTTCGCACGATGCTGTGTATTGATTTCCCTTATGAGCATCATTGTGCCTCAGGAGGGCAGGTGGTTTGTTAGCACTGTTGTCCTCCTTCCAGGTTCGTGTGAAAGCCTTGGTATTGTCAATGAAAGTCCCATGGACACGTTGGCCTTATGGTGCCTTAGCTGCTGTCCAGAGTCTTGTTGCTTTGGGAAGTTCTTAAATTTGTGTTAATCGCTTCCTGCTCCTCTGTAGCTCACTCTTCTCTGTGAAGGGTTATGCAGCCATAAAGGTCTCTGTCGTCTTTCTTTCTCTGTGGCAGAGATTTGTCTGCTTTCCCTTTGAAAAAGCTTTTTTCTGATGGAGTGCTCTCCATGCTTTCTCATCTGCTTTGAATGTCCTTAATTTGGTGAGACAGGCTCTTACAACTGCAGGAAGGTTATATTTAGGTTTTGTGCCTGGTACATGTGAGCACTGTGCTTGATTAGGTTTGGAGTTTTTTTCCCTTTGCTGTCAGGTATTACTTTAAAATTGAGTTCCTCATGCTGGCCTGCCTGTGTTCTCCTCAGACATACTGCAGAGTGCCAGGGCTACAGTTTTCAAGTCTTGCATTTGAGCCAATAAAAGATGATCAAAGGAATACACGGGGCTTTGATTATATTCTGCATCTTTGGAGCACAGTATTGACACACGAGCACAGAACTTGATATTCCAGGTTTCTCAGTGTAAGTCTTACAGAGATTCCCTGTGTACCTTCCAGGAGTCCCTTAGCTTCATCAGGTTGAGGGACTTGGGGTGGCAGGAAGTCTACAGTCCTGTTTGGGTGAGGTAGGCCACTGCTTGTCATGAAGGTGAGGCAGAAAGGGTAATCCAGACAGGGCGTGTTATTTTCTGTACTTTGCTCTTGTAAGGCCCCGCCTGGAGTCCTGTGTCCAGTTCTGGAGCCCCCAACACAAGAGAGACATGGAGCAGTTAGAACAAGTCCAGAGGAGGCCATGAGGATGATCTGAGGGCTGGAGCACCTCTCCTATGAGGACAGGCTGAGAGAGTTGGGGCTGTTCAGCCTGGAGAAAAGAAGGCTCTGAGGAGATCTTACAGCGGCCTTCCAGTACCTGAAGGGGCTACA